GGCCGGCGGGGAAGCCTTACTTCGGCGAGGTCGGCGGGACGGATGCCTGGTCTGTGAATATGCAATACGTGGGAATGTCGGAACCATGGCGTCAGCAACCCGAAGCGTTCGCCGTGGACATCCGGTGTGCTATGGGAGCGAAAGAGTCGCTCGGGCTCGGTCTGGGAATGAGGGGCGGAGGGAGGACCGGCGGACTCCGAGAGGAGTCCCGGCCCGGGCTTGGGAGGGAGACCCGGCTGGGCGGGAGCGGCCGCCGCGGCCGCCGCCGCCGCCGCCGCCGCCGCCGCCGCCGCCGCCGCCGCCGCCGCCGCCGCCGCCGCCGCCGCCGCCGCCGCCGCCGCCGCCGCCGCCGCCGCCGCCGCCGCCGCCGCCGCCGCCGCCGCCGCCGCCGCCGCCGCCGCCGCATCCGAAGTCAGCATCGCGAGCGTGGGTTAGGGGCTGCCAAGCATCTCCGGGAACGCGCCGAAACGGGTTTAAAAGTGCCTTTAAGGGCTTCGGTTGTGAGCAGGACAAGAGTGACTCGTGCAGGCGGGGGGAATCAAGATGATCTTTGCCGTTCTTTTATTTCCACGTCTACCTGGAAATAAATAAATCCCTTGAGTTGGGACTGACTCCAGATAAGATTGGATGATGGTCCTGGAGTACTTTTCTCAAGAAGTGAGAATACTGGTACTGCCGCTGTGCTGAGGCTACCTGACCCCTGAATTGATGCTGCCGCCGCCGCTGCCGTTTTGCAATTCGCGCTTCTTCGGTGCGAAAGCTTCGTTCCAAAAGCTCTTTAGATGGATCATGGAAAACAGGAAACTATTGAGCACCGGCTAGGCGTCGGCGTAGATCCTCCTCCTAGAAGCTGAAGTCCGCCTCTCGCTTGTTTTTCCCGATTTGCCGAAGACCCGGCATCGCCCGGGCGGGGACTTCCGCAGAGCCTCCGGGCCAGGGAAAGGGAAGCGTCGCAGAGCCGAGGGCTCCGAGCCGGTCTGGAAGCCGAACGAGCGGCGGCCAATCGCGAGCCGGCTCGGCGTCTTCTGAGGAAGCGCCGCATCCTTTCGCGGCGCTGGGGCTGCCGGCGCCGTTGTTTTTTACTGTACGCTTCGGCTTTACTCAACGTGGGAAGGGGGCCGGTTGGCGTTCACGAGCTTACGGCCGGGCATACGCACTCCCGCTTTTGTTTTGCGAGACAGTGCCAAGTTCAGCAGGTTGATGGTTACGGGGCTCAAATCAGGACGCGTGGGTTTTATTTTAATAAGTGGGCTCAGCTCTTCATAATTAGGAACCGATAGATTGGGATCGTCGCGAGGTTAGGAAGATGAACAGATTTCCCCATTAGCGATTATGGGCGGGACAGAGACGCACCCCGGCAGCCTCTTTTTTTCTGCCCTGCCCGATTGCCTTCATCTTATCCCCATTCTGTACCTGAGCAGCTTAAGTAGTCTTTAGTTTAGTTCCCCTCTCAATGCTTGCCACTGTAAACAGACCGTAAACCACAAACGTTTTGCTGCAGGCACAGTCTGATACACCCTGGATCCTGTTTGGTTGGTGTTACAACCGGGTGATCTCTAAGTTGATCTAAAGTGATCAGCTCGGATTCTGTTGACCACTTTAGCCAAATTGGGCAACATCCATTCTGCTTTGGGCAGCAGTTCGTTTTTGTTTTGTTTTTCAAACCAGCTTCTCCCCTGTACTTTCAGGTTTCTGAAGCAGCTCTCACATCGGAGAGCCTGAACAGATCCTGCCCAGTGGTGGTGATGGTGGGGCTACATGGTAAAGTGAGGGAGAAAGAGCCAGTTCTCTCTCCCCTACCCCCCAACTTCATGTATCTTGGCTGTTTGGGCTGCTTCTTGGGTTTAGCACAAACAGTTCTGGGAGCCTTCTGTGGTTTGGTGCAAATACATTTAAAGGCACTTCTTTCGGACATGGGATTAGCACTATTCCAGAGTAGCAATAAACCTTTTCTCTACATCTCTTTCCCAAACCCTTTAGATGCTCCCATGTAAAATATTTGCACTAAACCAGAACAGGTTTTGGCAGTGCCAATCTAGCTATCTGTCAAAACTTGCCTCCCTCCCCAGCCCTGCCCCACATTAAGGAAAGTGACTGGCAGATGCTGACCCACCAAATAGGAGTGGAGAGAAGCAAAGCTGGGGGAATCCACCATCCCTGGCCTTAACGTGCTCTGTACGCTGTGAACAGGTACGGCACTATTTGTCAGCATGGTGCTATGGCAAGGTAGAGATCATGAGCAAGGGGAACAAATGTTATGCTGGTATAGTTCTGTGGCTGAAGGAATCCTGAGTAGCCCTTTAACTTGATTATGAGGAAAAGCCTTCTCTAGTGTTTTGAAGTGCTTTCTACCTATACTTGACAAACTATACTGGTATGAAATTTGCTGTCCCATTGTTGATCCCTCGACAGCTTACTTCTGTCTTCTAGTGCCACACAACCATTATTTAGGCATCAGAATGCTCTCTTTATTACTGTTGTATCAGTCTAATGATGGATGGATGGATGACTCTAGGTCATAAAGGCCTTTCCCCATTTGCCGCTGATCACTGCACAATCATGCCTTGCCAACATCTGTTTCCACGTCTCCATGATGTTGCCTTCATCTTGGCCCCAGCCTAAATATGAGGCAGGTGCAAGCAAGCCTTAGTTGTATCCAGTATTAAAATATTATTTTCCCCTTACTGAACACAATCCAAAGAAAGCTTTGAGGTAAATCTGTTAAGCTTTATTACCCATTACCTTGGAGGGAAGTCAGGTGATTAGCCATGACTGGGCATAGAAGAAATAGAGGTAGGATAGGAATTTGCAATGAGGAAAGTGAATGTCATATTTGTATACTTTTCTTCCAACTTAAGGATGGCTAGAAAGCACTATGGCAAGGATCAATATGCTGATCCTGAATTGCTTCAAACATTATAATATTTGTTGCAATGTGACTAGAATAATTTATTTTGAGAAGATAATGAAACTGCCCAAATACTAGGTAGCATTTGATTTTTACTGAATGAATAAAACTTACAGAGTTGGTTTCTTTAGGCAGGTATCTTTTATTGCAGATACCCATGTTGCTGATACTTGCTGGAGTGGGGAGCAAGCAAGCAGTCAAAGGGAAACGATTAGCCTTTAAAGCTAAACACCCGCTAAATAATGGTTTGGTGTTAGCATCTCAGCCTTATTCATGCTGTGATGGGAACGTGCCACCTCAAATATTGTTGCATATTGGAGGATTGGATTGCAGCTTTCACTGTGTTTCTCTGCTGGCTAGAATGATAGGAACTGGAGTTAAAATATGGTGGAAGAGGCAAACATTGACCATGCCCAAACTATGGTCTCCAGGATTTTGGACAGGCATCTTTTCCCAGCAGTACCTAGAAATATCGAGGGTTGAACCCCAGATCTTTTGTATGTAAAGCGTGAACTTTATCACTGAGTTATGGCCCTTCACCTTTATATTTCTTAAGGCTGCTTCTCTCTAGACTAATCGAACAAAAACATTCACTGTTTTAATGCCCCAATATAATTTCCTTTAGCTTCCAGCCAAGCAGTGGGTATCCACCATGCATTAAAGGATGGCAAACATCATTCACCTTATAAAAAGCAGAAAAGAGGAGCTAGGGATGCTGTATAACCAGAGTGCTCACACTGAAATGGAAATGCTCTGTTAGCTTGAGATGGCTTTAGTTGAACAGAATTGAGTGCTCTTTTAGCATTTGCTATTGCCGTAGCCATAGTAATTATTGGTGTTCCCAGAGCTAATCCATAGAGTTGAGAGGACCTGATTGTAGAGAAGTACAAAATGGTTCTTTTATCACACTGAACCACAAATTAGCCAACCACAGTGTACCTTGATGTATTGCATAGACCCAGCATCGATTGTTGGTTTTTCATTGTGCAAGTCTGGAAAATTAGATTGAATAAATCATGGTTAAGTTAACCATGGGTGAACATACTGTGCAGAAAGAACCTCTCTAGTGTAATCCATTCATTTGACTTCCTGATTTTACTGCAGTAAAGATGAAAAGAAATAATAATGGGGTTTCCCCCCAGCAATATATTCAGAAGTTCAAGTTGAATAATATGTTGTTGCTCAAAGCTACTGACAGGCAAGAGGGAGTTACTCATCATGCTATATCATGTTTTATCATTTGCACAGAAGAGCTGCAATCGTTCTCAGCCCACAATGGTCTTTTTTTCTCTTTCCTTTAGTATGGACACAAATACAAGATCAGGGCTTTGGTTTCTTCTTCATGTTAACCACAGTTTAAATTATGCCAGTCCAGTGGTCCAGCCTAATTGTAGCTGTTGAAACAAACTAGCTTTCAGAACTGTGGTTTGGTTCCCCAAACTATCATTCAGATGAACAAGAGATTGTTAGAGTCTGGAGACAATGCAAGATGTTATTAATCTCAAATCAGAGTGATAGCTTCTGAACTCCCAAGGCTGCCCACTGGATGTCTAAGTCTTGACTGTTCTGTAATAAACAATAGTTGTCTTTGCCCATTGCATTAAACTGGGATTTGTTTAACTATGCCTGTTGAATGAATTAGAGTGGTCTGGCTTATACAGAACACTAAGCTCCATTGGGTAGATTCATACATAGTGCTAAGATATATGAGTTAGCACAATGTGTGAATGAGGTCATTGTTTTAATGTTATGATTAAGCAAGTTGAGAAAGAGTTGGGCTAACTTGTCTGTTTCATTCTTTTATTTACTGTCAAATATTTAAAAACTATTGAGAGCAAATATATGCAATTAGCCCAATTTCTGCTCTAAAGGAAATACAGTAATGAGAAACTTGCAATAGTTTTTTTATAAAATTCCTGTTTTGGATATTTAACAAACACAGAATTTGAAATGGTTGGTCAAAAATGGCAGTTGAAATATGCATTGTAGTGCATATAATATCTGCCCCAGGATGTGACTTACAGTTAAAAGGGCTGGGCGCACTTTGAAAGAAACAGTTCGGACTTTACCCAAGTGCCACACCTTTCTGCTGTTCACCAAGAGACAGACTGTCCGGAAGAGAGAGGCTGCTGTACTGAACAGCAGAAATACTGTGCTGTTATGAGATTTCAAGCATTTCTTCCAACCCATTTCCCAAATATGCACAGCCCTATTTA